GCTTTATTTGGTTGAACTCATTGGAGATAAATCTTTGTTAAAAAATGAGGAGAAATAAGATAACATCTAGATGATCTTTAAGGTCCCTTCCAACCCAAACCATTCTATGATTCTATAACATAAAGGAAAACCAATAGGTTTCTTTCATCCTTCTGGTAATACGTACCCAGAGAAGTCTGCAGGCAACCTAACCCTACCTCCATAAGCGTACTCAACATCAGGAGTAAAGGACACTGAGTATTTCATAGGATACATTCAACAAGTAGCGGGAGCTGTGTGACTGCAGTACTGCTCTGTATTTGCAAGCTGTCATTTCATGCTGTGCGCTAATTAAGAAAGTCTCAATGTAATGAATGTGGAAATGACACCTTGGAGGAGAAAGAGATTCTGGGTTGATCTTTCCTGTCTCCTGGACTAAAGCTAATTACTAGCAATGTGTTGACTGGACAAAAATTTCTGTAGGTAACCCAAATGTGCATAGGAGTAAACGGTGAATGGAAGCACTCCTAGTGAAGGAAAGCCAATTCAGGTTCCAGAGGTGGTTGTGCAGAGGACACTGTGTGTCCTTGCTTCCCAGAGCCCTTTCTTTTTTTCATTTTCTACTGTGAAAAGTAAAAGTTCATAAAAGAGAGGCACCCCTGACATGTTCCATTGGTAAAAAGTTATGAGCTGTATCCTCTTTAGGTGAAATTGTTCATTTAAGAATCCTGAAAATAAATGAAGCATTTTGAAGCTTATTCAGCTCATGTGCTTTTTGCTTTGCTTTTTTTTTTTTTTTTTTTTTTTTTTTTTTTTTTTACACTTTTTGGATACAACTGGGATAAGTTTATAAACTCTCTAGCTGTGATTCTGTACAACTACATGATATTGAACTGATTCTATATTCACATTGACTCCGGGAGTAAATCAATCATTAAAGAAATACAAAAGAAAAGCATCAGAACAGAACATTCGTAGGAAAATCCCATATATGGAGTGTGAAGTTGCTGTGTGGATGCAATAGGTAGGAATTAATCTGATTCATGTAGGCAACTACAGTTCAGGAGGCTCAATCTGAGCTACTCCCCTTGGGGTTCCTGTACCCTCAATGGACAGTGTGTGTGGGGGTGTTTCTTCTTCTACAACTGAAATCCTATGTTTGGTCAGATGAATTGCTCCCTGGAAATGCTTACTATTCTGCAGGGACAATGAGGGGTATGTAAAGAGTATTTCTCTTCTGTCTCCTATGTTCAAGAAACGTGGCAGTAGTGGGTATTTCCAAAGCTTTAGATTTATCAGCATTAGTAAACTGAGTGGGGATACCCTACTGGCATGAAAACAGGGGAATGGACAGAGTATTAGCAAGGTAAATAAAAATGATAACTCAGTCTTAAAAACTATACCTGCAATATTATCTCACAGATTTTATGGTGTCTGGTTCTGGAAAGTTAAGTCACCGTTAGCAGAAATGAAATCACTTATACAAAAAATTTTAGGTCTACAATAATATCATCACTGCAGTGGGGGCTTCATCAATTTTTAGGACCTCACTGGTATCCCTTGACACAAGAGGCTTTAATAGACTTTGGATGTAGCACAATATTAATAAGCCTAAGGGACTAAGTACAAATCAATTTACCTGCTACTTGTTCATAGAAAGCTGAAATTAAAGTTACAGGATATGGGACCTGAGGGAAATATAGCAGAACCTCACCAATTTACACTAATGATTGGTATAACCCCTTGTGAATGACTGAAATTAGTGCGTTAGCATGGAAATGAACAAACACAATAAAAATAAAAAGACAGGTTCTCTCTGTGAACATAGCTTTGCTTATTTATTCTGACAACTGTATTTAGTTTAAATGCATGAGAGACCTTTAATGGAACAACAGGAAATGCGCCGTGGTATATTCTGTAAAAATAAAGGGTCAGCTGGTATGAGCTAGCGTGGCTCAAATCAAAGGTGCTACACCAGTTCTCTATTAAATTACAATCTTGGCCCAGTGAATAATGAAGAATATCAGAGGCTGACTTTGCTGCAGGACTGTTAGGTATTTTGTTTTCAGATGAGGAATGGATGGGGGTGGTACTGCTCACTATAGGGTTTATGCTCATTATCTCATCTCGTTATCTTGCCAATAGCCCCTCTGGGAGCAGATTTCCCACTGGCCTAATTAACTCTAATTGTGCCGTTCCTGTTGTCTTGTCAGCAAAGTAGGGGGTTTTGCAAAATGCAAGAAATCAACCAACCTGCTGTTTTAATTCTAATGGTGCTGTTTAGTACAGTCTGCTACTTACCTCCAATAACAGCCACATCTGCTCCAGCTGTGGGGCTCTCGATATCTTCAGCTATAAATAGATTAGAACGTACAAAAGTTAATTAAAGAAAAAGGAATTGGATAATATGTAACAGCAGTGACTGTACTGGTGGTACTGTATTATTTTAAACTCTGAAACTCAGAACTTAAACAAGATCTGTTGTTAGGAAACGACATTTATGAAACGTCTCATTAGAATTAGTTGCACTGTAACAGTTTTCTGTCACTATAACACTGGAAAATAAATAGCTAACACATTATGCAAACTATCATGGCCCTCAGGGAAGCACCTACTGTTCATTATGAGCACTTACCTGTAACATCCTCCAGTGAATGATTAAATTAAGAGTGTTCAGGTCCTGTGATTACTCTCAGAAAGGTAGTTTTGGGGAAAAAATGTTGGTAACTATTTATTTTCCCATATATGGCTCTTCAGGGTATGGTCTTGATCTTGATTTGATGTAAATTAATCTGGCTTTATTGATTTCAGTTAGTATTTATTTATCTGCAATATCCTGTTTTTAATCTTAGCATTTTTTTTTTAAACCTACATTTGGAATCATGGCAAGCCTGTTATGTGTGTGGTACAAAACACAGTTGTCATTCAGAGTAAGTCTGAATTTGGTGCTGATAAATCAAATTACATTCTTTACTGGATTATAATTGATAAAAAAAGATAACTTTGCAATTTAAATGCAAAAGAGAAGTGCCTGACCATGTCCTTTTAAAAAGTAAGAAATTGGTTTGAAAAGTTGTAAGCTGCTGAAAAAGCAGTTAGAATTTGAATTAAAGTTTGATCTTAATTATAGTGCTTGTTAAAAATATTCAAAACAACTAATGAATAGCCAAAGTGATTTAAAGAGGAGAGAAAAAAAAAAGTCCTAAAAAAGGTGAGAATTCATATAGACAAGCATCTCTTCACTAGCTTCTCCATAGCTGATCAGGGTACAATTCTGATTTTGTTTTCTGCTCCTTATTTCATGTCATTGGTATCAGCCCACTTAGTCCTGGATTATGTGTATTTCTGAGTAGGTGATGAAGTCCTGGAGTTTTTTCATGACAGGTTTATGACAGGATGTTCCTTTCTTTGTTTATTATTGTACTATTTACACAATTCAAAATGATATTATTTTCTGAACAAGGCACATACAGCTTTATGTGAGGTCTTACATTTGCCTTTGGTAAATAAAGCAAATAGAAAAGTCCTCTGGAAAAGGTAAAAATGTTAATTACAAATCTTTCTATAAATTGAACAATGGCACTATGGCTGATATCTGGCTCTTCTTTTGATAAATCTGTGATAGATGAAGCAAGAATAAGACACTGTCAGCAGCTTTCTCCTTATGGATGTCCGGTCCCTTATATCAAATTGAATAAACTGAGGAGAGCTGAGATTCAAAGGATCCTCCTCTTCCCAAACATGGGAGATGCTTTTACTAGGAAGGAGTGCTTCCCTCTCCTCGAGATCCTTCCCACATTTTCTTTCAGCTGTACACTGATGGAAAGACCGAGCATGCCTTGTATAATCTAAAAACTCTAATTATGTCCACGTCCATTCAAAATGCGTGTGCCTCAGAAGCGATTAATTGCTTGAAGGTCAAACTGTTCTGTATTGCTTTATATACCAAATATACGCTGCAAGCCAAAAAAGCAGGCTCCTCTACAGTAATCAAATACTTGAAGGTGTGAATTCTAAAGTGCTTCTCTAGCCACACAGCTTGCTTCTAAACATTAATTCCAGATCAAATCATTATCCCTTTAATTATAAACAGGTATGTGAGTAACTCTCTGCTTTTTCCTCTTGTTCCCAGGTGCCTCTCAGATTCAGATAACAAGCAGGTGCCTTATCTCTAGTACTTGCCACCAAAGTGCTTTTTGATAATGGATTACAGTATCATCACTTTGCAGAAAAGTTTTAATTTCCATACTGTATTTTCTAAGTTTTCAGAAGATTGCTGGACCCATCTCGAGCTATCGTTTAGTGAGCACTGATCTGTTAAGCTGGTGATGCTGTGCCATTCAGCAACCAGCTAACACCATGATGTGACCTCCCTCACCACAATTCCCATTTTACTACAAGCATGAGAGTAATACTTTTCCTTTGTGTACCTGCTTTTGGCCATGGGAAGTGCTTGGTGTATTCCCAGATGGCACTTGTTGGCTTTTGCTGCATCATCCGGAGAGCCAGGACACTGCAGCTACCACCAATGGCCAGAAGTTTCCAGGGTCTGCTCCTCAGATCAGTTTTGGAGCAAGGATGATGGAGGTGAGAGAGGGACCCTCAATACCTGTCTCACAGTTCCTGAAATTTCATTTTATCTAAAAATAGCTATGTGATTCATTGCAATACCAAAATTTCGCTAGGCAGGGAGGGGAAGTATCAGTGTCATTCAAGATTCAAGCAGTATCACCCTTTGTGAAACATGACTGAGGAAAATGCAAGGCCTGTGCACATGAAATGAGGCCATCTTCCCAGAGCAGGAGTGAGACAACCACCACTATCCAGATAGGAATCTATGCTTGACCAGGAACCTCAGCATGTGTTCTTTAACTTCAGCTCAGTTTATGTGAGAAATATACTGCAATACTGTAGGACTGAAACTTCACTTTCAGATGCAGAAAAGATATCAAACTTACTGGAGGAATTATTATCTAGCACTGGCTGTAGGCTTTGGCCTTCTTGTACCTTCTTTATTCTGCTCTTCTTCATGTGCAGAACACTCAGAGGTCTGTGTTTCAGTAACTGCTATTGCACCTGCTTTGGTTATTTTCCTTTGTTTCAAGGACATCTTTTGTGTTATCTGCTGCTAAATTGTCCTTGCAAAACTTCCTCTCACTGTTATACTGGCCCTTGTCCATAGCAACAATCTGGTCCTGAAAGTGTTTAGACAATGTTGTTATTTAGTGCCATTGGTTGCCACGACACGCAAAATAAAAAAAAATAGTGGAAAAACTTGTTTTTCATAAAAACTCTGGCCATCAGAATGAGTTGGATAAATCAAGAATAGAACATGCAAGTCAAATTGCCTGTTTTTGGAAAGTATGTTTGTAAAAGCCAGAATGAAGGGAAAGAAATGCCTTTGTGCCCTGACCTGAAATTAATCAAATTCCAGTTCTGCCCGTAAGCTTACAGATAAGGAATTTTGCAATAGGATGACAATTGCTACCTGTCTCATTCTCATCAATCAAATCATGCTCAGAAGGCAGCAGCCTCTCAAAGTCCCTGGAATATTCCTCACTTAAATACTGCAATAAGATCTCTGGTTTGCACTTCAAAATGTGAAAAGCCAGTACAACTAGCTTTTATGTTAATATAGCCAGTGGTGAGTTTTTTTCTGCTAAATTTGTGGGTAAATTTGTTAAACCATTTCCTCCAGGTGCAATTTTCCAATGAGACTTGACTTTTATTTATTTTTAGGGTTTTTTCCTAGTTTTAACTGTTCCCATTCCATTTTAGCTGAGGATCACTTGTTTGAAGGAGGCAGGTCCAGCAGTGAAAATGTTTGTTTGATGCTCAGCACTCTCTTTGTTTTGCTATGAACTTCTGGCAGTTGTAATGGTTTGTTTTGTTCTTTAAATTACAAATCTGAACCACTAAAAGCCATAAGTCACTTCCTGCTCAAAAATTGTGACACTGGCTTTAAAAGAATTTTAAACATTTTTATTTGCCCTTTCTTTCATACCTGAGCTTCATTCAAGTCTTACTTTCCAGCCTTTCTCTACAACACCAAAGACAAAATGCCTTGTCGATGAAAACTGAGGGTTTGGCATGATTTTGTGACACCAGGAAACGGGTCTTGAAGGAAAACATAAAGTATTATGTATGAGAAGCATAATAAAGATGCAAGACTTATCTGTGAGCTACTTTAGAAACATAACCATGTTAAGACATGCAAACTGACTAGCCATTCAACTAACATAGTGATGGGAAGGGGCATATTCGTTCCCAAAATATTTCCTTCCATTTGGTATAGAAAGTACAGATCTTAGATCCTGCTACTTGCAGAAAACAATACCTTAATGTGCTTCTGTGGCTACTGTCAGTGACACAAGGGAGGTTCAAGCTTTCTAACTTTTTGGGCATTGTTTTCACCTGATGAAGGAGTTTCCAAAAAAAAAAATAATCTGGTCCTTGCACCCTTAATGATGCACTGTAGTCAGCATTGTAGTTAGAAATTTAAGCATTTACATGTTTGCTTGTTATGAATTTACCCATGGGAGAGGCATGAAAGGAAAACTGTACCTGCAAAGGGATCCTCATTTGGCATGTGTGGTATGAATGCATGGGAAGCATCCTACAGGATAGATCTAATCTGTTAGTGTGAATCACCAAATCTCTGCTGTGTAACTGTCAAGGGTGTTTAATGAGATAACATGGACCTTACCCCAAACTTCTCAGTGTCTCTCTCATGTCCCATGACAAAGCTCAAAACTAAAGCTGGACAAGTGCTTACTGCTAAGTAGTGTTGAATACAGAAAGAAAAGCCTGAGGTTACAACTCATGTCATGATTTCCTTGCAGCTGTGGGTGATAACTGCTGTTTTGGAGTGGGTGAGTCAAGACGAGTGAGTATACAGATATCTGTGTGTGATAAGCAGTTTTTACAACACAATTTTCAAAGCCAGTCAGGCAGCACTGCTCCTGCTCCTGCTTTTCAGCATTTTTCTACCCACAAGGTTGTGCTTTTGATTCTTAGAAACCTAAGCCATCCCTTACCATGATGCTCCATTGCTGCCTACTTGTGGTTAAAATCTCAGACAAAGCCTTGGCTGCTAAATTACACTTAAGTAGGTCTCTAAGCGCTTTCTTGGGCAACCCATTTTCTCTCTTGATGTGTCTGTTCACTGCATAAGAAGTGCTTGAAATTAATTTAGTCCTGTGAATGATGAACTGAGCTCTTTAGAGCAGTCATTTCCTTCTTGGGGCTTTCCTAGGTGTGCAGACTAGGAAACGTACTGCAAGATTTCATCTTTAGTCAGATCACCTAACCACGCTCTGAAAAACACTGCTGCTAGTGGGACTTCTCCAGGT